AAAAAAAAATCTTTAAAAAAAATAAAAAAGAAGTCAGGCCCTGGTTGGAATCCCAGCTCTATCACAGACTGTATGACCTTGGACAAGATGCTTAACTTCTCAGTGCATCAATCTCATCTGTAAAACGTGGATAATAATACATATTTCTCAGGACTGTTATGAGACTTAAATGGGTTGGTCATGTGAATACTAAGCAGTGCCTGCAGACAGTAAGCACTCAATAAATACTACTATTAATATAGCAGTATCAATTAGTTTCTCCCTTCCTACATCTACTCTACCTCTCACTTCTAGTCAAAGCAGCCTGCATCTGTAGAAGTTAATACTTGCGTGACAAGTGCTATTATAGAAAAATGGGTGGTCAGGAAAGGGTCTCTGTGGCTTGCAAGTCACATCACAGTCATGGTTCTCTTATGTCTCCAATCCTCCCTTTTCTAAATCTTTTCTTCCTTAGAAATCTAGCAAATCCCCAGGCTTCAAAGTAGGGAGCTATAAAATTCTTATCCCTAGCCAAGATTTCTCTCTCTTGAGCCCCAGGGTAGTATTTCTCAATTCCTGATTTCTACCTAATGGCCCAGCATCACCTTAAACTGAAAATGCCAAAAGCTGAAAATTTTTCTTCCCCCCAACTGTTCCCCATCTCTCCCCTCCTATCTTCCTCATTTACTAGAAGAACCTGCTATTCTTCCAGTGCACAGGCTGGCTGTCCTGAAATTATACTTTAGTCCTTGTTCTCCTGCAATAAGACTACCTCAAGTCATCTTTTTCCTTTCATTCCTATTGCCACTGACTACTTCAGTCCCCTTTAACTTCAAGCTTATTCCACCAAAAAAGCTCTGACTGGTCTCCCCACCACAGGCACCACTCTATACCGCATGCGCTACCACACTAATCTTCCTAAAACATACCACTTTTCACCATGCCTTTTTTCTGCTTAAAACTTTTGGTGTACTACCCCCTCTTCCAACCCATAATCTATATGGAAAAAGGCAAAGATGACTTCAGTGTGGCAATCTAAATCCTTACCTATCTACCTTGCTCCAGTCTTCCTTTTTAATCTTAGTCCCATGATAAAAATACCATCACCTAACATTTATGCAGTGCTTTATTTTACTCAGAAAACATTCTTACCTGGCTTGCATTTCATCTCCAAAATAACCCTTGGAGAGAGGCTAAACAGATCTCAGTATCTTTCTCTTACAGAAGAGAAAACAGACTTCTAGCACTGAGCTGGAAGTCAGAACAAATGGGTCCCTGTCCCACTCCCCCCTTGGATTCCTAGTAAATCAATCAGTCTGTCTAATACCTCATTCCCACCACTTACATACAGGAGTCTTCTGTTCCAGAAACTCCGGTCTCAGTGTTGTCCCATCCACCTCTCTCCAACACACCTCATGTTTTCTTAGCTCTCTAGTTTACCCCTTACCATTCTCTCACTTGGTAGACGGCCCTAATCCCCAACTCTTGTTATAAAAATACAGTAATACAGCATAGGGAATACAGTCATTAATATTGTAAAAACACTGTACAGTGACAGATGGGAACTAGACTTGTGGTGATCATTTTATAATGTATATAAATATCCAATCACGATGTTGTACACCTGAAACTAATGTAATATTCTATGTCAATGATACTTCAATTTAAAAAAACCCAGTTATTTCTTCAAGTCTTCAGTTTAAATGCCACCCTTTTGAGAATGCATTCTCTGACACCCAAAACCATTCTATTCCCCTTGCCAACACCATGGAAGCTGTAATAACTGAGGTGACACTTACCGCCCCAGTCATACTACAGCTAGTTTATCTCATATACTTGGACCTTCCAATACCCCCCTCCAAAAGGAAAAATTGTTAGAATTTTCTATTTGTCTCTGTACCTATCACAATACTTTGCACGTAAGGACTTAAAGTTTTGGATTAGACAGCGTTGGCCAGTGTTTTTCAAATAGCAAGTCACAAACCCTGAGTAGAATGTGCAACCAATCTGGGTCACAACTAGCGTTTTTCCCCGCCTCACGTGGGTAATGTGCCGAGGCAGTAGCAAGGTCTGAGGGAGGCGCACGTCAACACACGCGGTGAGCAGCCAATCGCCATGCTTAGGAACTACAAAAAGGTCAGGATTCTGTTTTTAATGAAACAGTAGAAAATAAAATACATCTCTCATAGTAAAGATGAGTGCTGCTTTGTGAAACTCTTACTTCATTACATCTGTATGTAACTGCTGGATCATAATATGAAATACATTTCTTACTCTGTGTTGTATTTTTTTCAAGTTTGAAAGCTAATGTAGATGACCCAATTTCTAGGCTCAAGCGTTTTACATTTAAACCAGAGATATTTGCTTTCTACCAAACCCCACACCCTACAAGGACCATCAGCTAAATAGAATACATAGATACACAGGGGCTGAGGAAGACAAATCTTAAAAGAGTAATGAGCGTAGGGGAAAGTTTGTAAAGAAATGTTTCTTAGAGATGTTAGAATGTGCTACAACACTAGGTATTTAGTTTCCAGCCTCTGCCATTTGTTTAGCCAAAAAGACCCCTCTATAGAAGGGCTCCGAAAATGTATTTCTCAATACTCACAGTTAAAGGGCCCTCACCACAGCCCACAATACAAGGGTATATAGGATCTGGCCCTGGCTATGGTCACTTCATTTCCCTTTCCCTCTCAATCATGGTCTTCCAGCCACAGTGGCCTCCATGCTGTTCCCAGAACATTCTAAGTTTCAGCATCTCTGCACCTGCTATATCCTCCCCCGTTATCTTTCCTTCTTTAGATTTTATTTGACACAGAGAGAGAGAGAGAGAAAGTGCGCACAAGCAGGTGGGAGTGGCAGAGGGGTAGGGAGAAGCAGTCTCCCCGCTGAGCAGGGGGCTTGATCATGACCTGAGCTGAAGGCAGGCACTCAACTGACTGAGCCACCCAGGGGCCCCCTTCCTTCTTTAAATATCCTTCACTTAATTCAAAGTTTTTTTCTTTTAATGTCCCATCTTCAAAAAGGTCCTCCCTGACCACAGTATGAGGGAGGGCCCCACTCTCTATTCCCTTAACCCACTGTATGGTTTTGCATAATACTTGTCACCATCTAACATTCTAGTACACATTTATTCTTTTATGGTCTACCCCAGGGATCCACAAGCTTTTTCTATAAAAAGCCACATAGTAAATATTTTCAGCTTTTTCTGTCACAACTACTCAACTCTGCCATTATAGTATAAAAGCAGTTTAGACAATATGTAAATGAGCAGATGCAGCTGTGTTCAAATAAAACTTTATTTACAAAAACAAGCAGCCGGCTGGGTTTGGCTCAGAGGCCATGTACCCCTGATATATTCCTTCTAATAGAATGGGTCACTAAAAAAAAAAAAAGAATATGAGTGTCATAGGGACAGGAATCTTCTCTGTTTTGTTCTCATCATGGTATCCTTGAGGCCAGAATAGTGCCTAGCCCCAGGTACACATTCAATAAATTCAATAAATATGTGTTGAGTAAATTAATAGTACTGGTCTGGAGTGGAGAGCCACAACTCTCTTCCGCTTCGTTGGGTGACAGTAACATGGCGTTCAAGAAGAATGAGGCCAAGGTCAGCAACTGTACTTCCCTTTAGTTAGTACCATACCATGAAAAATGGTACCACAACCATTGTGTGCCCCTATCACCAGCAATAACCATCTCACACATAAATGCTTTGGTCATAACTGGGTCCAGGGAGAAGCCTGTTAAAACACAAATGCCTTGGCTCCACCCCCAGAAACTGATTCAGTAGGTCCACGGTAGGCTCCAAGAGTCTGCATTTCTAGCCAAGTTCCTAGGTGATGCTGATAGTGCTGGTCCTAAACTACTCTTTGAGAACCAGTGGGTAAGAGCACCCACAAACCATATAGTACTAGTATTTTTATACTATTAAAAAAAAAGCCATAAATTCCTGATGTTCCAGTGATCTGGTTGTGGGGGGGGGGGCCGGGACTGAAAAAGAAGACAACCATAAAACTGTTCCGTGGGAATGTTGCCTCAGTGAAATGAAGGCAAACACCACAAGGTCTTTAATTTTTTACAGACCATCTCCCAAACACTCTGTTTTTACTTGCAAATCTAGCTCTAACTGGCTAAAACAATACGCCAAACAGGTAAAAAAGAGAAATCACCAGTGGCCGGCTAACCCTGATAGTGGGCTATTAGCTCATAATCAGTTTTCTTAAAATTACTTTAAAAAAAAAATTTTTTTTTAAATTTTTTTAAAGTAGGCTCCACTTCGAACATAGTGCTTGAACTCAGGACCCTGAGATTAAGAGTCTCATGCTCTATGGACTGAGCCAGTCACATGCCCCAATTTTCTTTCTTTCTTTTTTTTTTTTTAAAGATTTTATTTATTTATTTGACAGAGAGAGAGAGTTAGCGAGAGCAGGAACACAAGCGGAGGAGTGGGAGAGGGAGAAGCAGGCCTCCCGCTGAGCAGGGAGCCCGACGCGGGGCTCGATCCCAGGACCCTGGGATCATGACCTGAGCCGAAGGCAGACTTTTAACGACTGAGCCACCCAGGCGCCCCCATGCCCCAATTTTCTTAAAACTACTTTGTGGACGAATCATAACCACCTGCTTTTCTATTGTTAGATGCCAAAGGCCTTTTCCGAAAGGATACTAGAAAGTCAATCTTATTACAATGAAATACACCTACAATAAATTACCAAGCCTGGAGGTCACTTTCTTCAAATGATAAAAAGTCTATCACCACCAGACAGAACCCACAACTACCTCCTGAATCCACATAACAGAACTTGCAATGGACTAGTAACAATTTTTACAAGTTCTACGTTCGTCATCACAGAAGACTTAAAATAACCCCCCAAACTCACATTAAAATCACCCTGAGGCCAATATTTACTCTTCCAATCTGAAGAGCCCACAGAGGGATTATAATTTATATACATTTGTAGCTGTTTATAGAGTAGTTTTCTATTGTAATGGTTTTATGTTGCTAACATAGGTTAAGAAATAATTTTAAAGGGGCGCCTGGGTGGCTCAGATGGTTAAGCGTCTGCCTTCAGCTCAGGTCATGATCCCAGGGTCCTGGGATCGAGCCCCATATCGGGCTCCTGGCTTGGCGGGGAGCCTGCTTCTCCCTCTCCCTCGGCCTCTCCCTCTGCTCATGCTCTCTCTCTGTGTGTCTCAAATGAATGAATAAAACTTAAAAAAAAAAATTTAAGGTGAAAAAGTAAGGTAAAATCTTGGTTCTTAGGAAAGAAATTCAAGAAGCAAAAATCCAGAATGTTAATGAATGGACCATTAAGAAGATGGCAATACTACATCAAAATGTACCTACAAAAAGAGACTGTATGTGATCAAAAAATGTATTAGCAGACCCCCAATGCATGAGTCTAAAGATGATTCTCAGCTAAGATCAAGTATTTTTGATCCAAATTTAGTATCTGAACTCAAGTGTACTAACTGTAAAATATACACTAGATTTTTAAATTTTTTAAGAAAAAAACCCATAATTTTTATGCTGATTACATGTTTAAATGCTAATTTGGATATACTGGGTTAAAGTATTAAACTATTTAAATTAATTTCGGGGCGCCTGGGTGGCTCAGATGGTTAAGCCTCTGCCTTCGGCTCAGGTCATGATCCCAGGGTCCCGGGATCGAGCCCCGCATCAGGCTCCCTGCTCCGCGGGGTGTCTGCTTCTCTCCCTCCTTCCTGCTCGAGCTCTCTCTCACTATCGCTCTCTCTCAAATAAATAAATAAAATATTTTTAAAAATAAATTAATTTCACCTCCTTGGCTTTGTTACTGTGGCTACCAGAGAATTTAAAGATTTATTTATTTATTTGAGAGAGAGAGCTCGCGTGCACACACAAGCGGGAGGGGCAGAGGGAGAAGGAAAGAGAATCTCAAGCAGATTCCACACCAAGCATGGAGCCTGACACAGGGCTCCATCTCACAACCCTGTGATCACAGCCTGAGCTGAAACCAAGAGTGGGTCCCTTAACCGACTGTGCTACCTAGGACCCCCCACCAGAGAATTTAAAATTACATGTGGCTTGCACTAGATTTCCATTGTATAGTGATGGTCTAATCCAATTCTGCAAGTAGACTTGCTCTCTCCTCTTCCTTTGGGTGATTTCTAAAAAGCTTGTAGAAAATTACACCGAGCAAGAAATAACATGAAGCTATGTGGTATGTCTGACATGGGATGTCAGGAAAACCATGGGTCAGGTGCTCATCCACTGTCACTTCAGGTCTGATCACCATTTTTCCTAGGGAAGGGAAGATCAGTCCCTCCTCTGACCACTATGTATATCCGTATATATAGCCACACACACAAACTGCACACTTTACATTAATTTCAAATTGCAATTAACTGTATCAGAATCCCTAGCTTATCAGGCAGAATGTAAGATCTCTGATTATGAAAATTACCTGGTTCCCAATACCCAAACACCCCCAGCTACCTAGTATGTGTTTCATTCTTATAGAAGAGACACATCTATAACAACTCCTTTAAGATTTTATTTATTTATTTGACAGAGAGACAGAGCCAGAGAGCACAAGTGGGGGGTGGGGGAGGGATGACAGAGGAAAGGGATGACAGAGGAAGAGGAAGAAGCAGGCTCCCTGCTGAGCAAGGAGCCCGGATGCGGGGCTCAGTCCCAGGACCCTGGGATCATGACTTGAGCCGAAGGCCGACGTTCAACCAACTGAGCCACCCAGGCGCCCCCTATTTTTATTTTTTTTAAGATTTTACTTATTTGAGAGAGAAAGAGAGAGAGAGAGGGCACATGCGCACGAGTGGGGGGAGGGGCAGAGGGAGAGGGGGAAAAACAGACTCCCTGCTGAGCAGGGAGCCCTGGGATCAGGACCTGAATGGAAGTCAGCCGCTTAACCAACTGAGCCACCCAGGGGCCCCTGCAGCAACCCCTTTAAATAATTCCTGCCTGTTTTACTGCAATGGTCTTAACTCCTAATTTAGAAAGTTTCTCATTTCCTTGCACTGCCAAACTTCTACAACCATAGAGGGCACCAAAGGAGAATACTGACTGAGAAGAATACCAAAAAGAAGTACCATCTAGTTTCTCACTCAACAGTTGCTATATAACCATTAAGCCTCTGCA